CAACCACATTACCCATCAACTCATCCCCAGTACCCATCTCCCCAGCCCACTTACCCTTCGATTCCTATCTACGGCTAAAGTAGTCGACATATGAAGCCTAACATTTGTGTATTTATAATATGTAGAAGCATCAGTAAATGGTTGTTCCAGAGTAAATAATTTCAAAAATTGAAGTTCGTGTATTTTACCACTTGGTCCTAATAGTATCACAGGATGATAAATCCTCTGAGGAGCATTCATGCTACTTCCAATTTCTTTACACATATTTATATACATTTCTCTCCATCAAGCCGTTTATGAACCGAATATTAAAAGGACAGTGACTAGAGAAAATTATTTACAAGACTTGTAATAGTGAAGGTTACATTATTCGAAGATATATTTTAGCTGTATACAATTTGCTGTAAAAAATATGGGCATGTTAATTTGTAGTAAATAAAAATGACCTACATATTAAAATTGGCTCTTTAACAATCAAAAAATTCTTCCATGAGAAATTCATCGCAAAATATATTTCTGTGCTGACTGGACGCAGATCTTGTCAAGAAGAAATGGACACCGAGACGTGCATTCCAAATCACTATGAATATACACTGAACATTTACTTTAAACATGGACAATGTTCAGGATTAAAATATACATGTTATTTGACCATTAAACCTCTGTGATGACCCTGAAAACCCACATATGGTTGATAGTCCTCGAGCCCAATACAAAACCAAACGGAAAGCCATATAATTTCATGAGGTATAATCAATTCAACGTCCCACGAGATTAAAGCATGGTTAGTTAGTATGGGCTAAATTTTCCTAAATACTCCCAACAAATGGGAAAAATGCACTCGTAAGTGTGACCCGTACCTGCCCAGGATGAAGTAAACGCAGACAGGTTGCTATGCCTGTGTTTAAAGTTAGAAAAATAAATGAGGAGCTTAAAACTAGTTGAAAATGACAAATATGAACGATATAATCCAAAGTATCACAGTATTATCTGTAATCACATTTCATTCACTTGGAACTCAAGATATTACAGGCCTGAAAAAAAGTTACTGTAGTTCTGACAACTCGGCCAGGATACATATAACACCTTTCCATTATGGAAAAGGTGTCAGAAGTATCTTACTGTTACTCAACTGAAACAATATTATAAATATACACAGAGAAATCACATTATCGGGATATATCAATGAGAAAATCTACAGAAGCCGAAATGAGGATTCGAACCAATTCACAGGATATTCCCAGATGCACGCTCTAAACGACTACGCTACGACATGGTAAAAGAATTGCAACTTGGGGTGGTACTACTGCACCTTCGAGGATTCCCGTGGCTTTCACTGAAGCCGAACCAGGGTTCGGCTTCACAATTCCCCCCATGCACTCTGGCACTGTCGTCCATTGTGTGAAACCCTGTTTTGGCTTAAGTGGAAGCCTCAGGAATCTACGAGGATGTGGTATTACCCCAGGTTCCAATACTTTTACCCTGTCGTGGCCTAGTCGTTTACAGCTAGGGGCCACGACATGGCCCTAGGAACACCTAGGAACTTCTGGGAACACCCAACGCATAGGTTCGATTCCTCATCATGGCTCCTGTGGATTCTCTCAATTAAAATATAATTAATAAATCTAACTGAAAGTGTTTGGTTTCTCTTGGAACCGAAGTTAACAATTTAACTCGCATATTTATTCAACACTTTTAATAGACCTGATGCCTTAGTACAGCGTAGCAACCTCAGTGGTTATAGTACTGGACTGCCAAGGGGCAGGGAGGGCCTGGCTGACCGGGTTCGAATCTTTCAAGGGGTCAAAAGTTTTCTGATGCATGTTGGCTTGGGGACCATTCAAGCTTGACGCACAATTGATGCTCATGCGGCCCCCCTAGCATGTGGAAGTGAGTTGATGAAATATCTGTGCCCAAGCACGAGTGATATCGGGCGTTGGGGAATAACTCCAACGACTTATACCCTCCAAAACTTATACACCTCTGTCCGGTCTGATAGCTCTTCCTTTTATTATCTCTGTTTTCCTTCTTCCTGAAAGGTAATCTTTTACTTAAACGTGTATTATTGAACTGAACCGAAAGGGTTAGATCAATGATTACAAAACGAATCTTCTTATATATCTCATTTTCTTCCCTTGGGAAGCCAATTGAAAACAAAAAATCTTCAATAACAATGTAACAAAAATGACTGAGACTGAGACCTATTGCTAAGGACATGGTTCACTTCAACGCCTTTAGAGGCAAAGGGAAAGTAAATACAGTTTTAGTGAAGGTAATAGTTTCTATTCACTGTAAAGTGAAGAAAGTTCAGATGTTATCAAGTCGAGGGGACTGAGTAATCATGCACGGCATTTTTATACACTGGCTGAGGTAGTTAGTGTGGTGTAAACTGGAAATATTTGTCTTAAGGAAGAAATATGTAACAATGTGTAACCTAGTTGTTAGTAGTTGGATCAATGTGTTTAATATGCAGTGCCTCAGCCATGTTTAATCTCATTTTGCCTTTGTAGTGATTAAGTTACAATAAATAATATATACAAATATAATGATAATTTGAAATAGAATAATAAATTACAATATAACATAAATTACAATAAAAACAAAAACTCCAATACAACAAAACAGGCTATAAATAACAGTAAACAATATTTAAATAATAATAATAGTAAAAACAAAGGAAAAAATATTAATAATAACACAACGATATAGATAAATAAAGACAGATATATAATAATATAGAATCGGAAAGTTAATTTCATAAAAGAGTTGATAATTGTGAGTAATATGGATGTGAATGAGCTAAGTGGAGCCTCCAGTGTGCCGAAGGTCGTATTACATAATAAAGAACAGTAAATGGGTTACGAAACTTGAAAATACACTCTGTGGAAGACTTGTGTATCGATATAAATAACTCGATTCCAATCCTCAATCAGTTCAGATGGGATCTAACTTCCATCTTTCGTAGTAGGAGATAATTAAGCATTTTAAGCTGCACCAACGACCATCAAATACTCATTACGACTCGCCACCACATAATACACTCCTCCGTCACTCACTACAACGCTTTATCACTCATTACCACTCTTCACACCTCAACTGCGACCGTTCACCACCCAGTACTACCACCCATCACTAACTACGACTATTCAGCAGTCGTTATGATCCTCCACAACTTAGTACACCTCAATACGACCCTCCGTCACACACTGCGATACTCACAACGACCCTCTCCCCACCACCACCACCACGTAAACACTACCATTTGCCTCAAAGACGAAGATAATCGTTGCCAAAGATTTTCTTTTTATTATATATTTCTTGCTATATATTATTTTCACTCTTTTTCTTCATAAAATTTGTGCAAAATTGCATTACTTGTGTCAGGTCGTTTAGTGAAATATACACAATTTAATTATCTTCTATTCGATGGATTGTGTTTCGATCCCTTTTGGGCTGATGGAGCCCAGAAGAACTCGAATTATTTGCATTAAGTCACAAGTTTCCAACAAAGTTTATTTTTATGCTGCGGAAATCAATATCGTGCAGGGGTAACAGTTCATAATTATCTCTTACGACCTTGAGGCGGGACCAAAGAGCCGAAGCTCAACCCCCGCAAACACAACTTGGTGAGTACGGTAGAGGCGGCGTTCATTCACATGCAAATTACTCACAATTATGAACTCTTCAATGATATCAACTTTTACAGATTGACATTATTATATATCATATTTTGGTCTTTATTATTTTGGTATTATTACTATTTACCTTTACTTTTTAATATCTTATGATTACTTATTAGCAATTTATTATTGTTTAATTTATTATATCTAACTTCTTGTTATTTACCTTAGATGGAATTAGTTTTAGTTGTAATATTTATTTGTTGTCATTTCAATTTTAATGTAAATTATTGTTAAATATATATTTAATCTATTTTTTATCTTATATTTCGTTGTAATTTAATCGACAAAAAGATAGAAGATTTGATATAGCCGAAGCACTACAGGTCAGAGACACTGATACATTTATCAACAGCCCAGTTACAGTTGGTTACGTCCTATCATCTACAATAATACGACAGAACTACCAGTTTATACTGCACCCACTGTCCCTAGCCGACCAATGGAAAGCAGGGTATATTTATGTATATTCCTATCTGGAATATATACATATTCCTCTACTAAATTGCATTTACCTTCCTCTAATTCCGAAGATGTTGAAGAGTTCTTCGATGAAAGACGCAAGCTAGCTTAATAAATGTGTAAATAAAGAATTATTTACACATTTAGAGAATTATTTACTTGACTTGCTCCCTATGTATGCAATATAAGACATAATTCCTAATTATAATTCATTGTGTCTAACTCCCAGGTACCCATTTACTGCTAGGTGAACAGGGGTCATCAGGTATTGAAAAGATTCGTGCAAGTCTCATTGATCTGACTCAGTCAAATTCAATAACAGAAATATATATACACACGCACATCAGTTGATTGACAGTTGACAGGCGGGACTGAAGAGCTGAAGATCAACCCTCGCAAGCACAACTAGGTTAATACACACTAACACACCTATATTCAATTTATTTACTCAATAAGGGAATTATTAGGGGAAAGCGTCAAGCTATTACAATCACATAGCACTTGGAAGGGGTCATTCAGGATAATGATTTTGCTTTTACAGTTGTTTTGCCTAATTACTATTATTATTGTAATAGTATAGATAAATTTTTTATAGTCACTAGCATAAAGAAATTCTCCATCGACAGAAAGCTGATGTAACAGTGATCTGTCTTCAATAAAGTTGAAACTGCTTGCTTATTAGTACTTCTAAGTCCCTAATAATAACAGGTATGCATCTAGGAGTACTCCTACTCTCCATACTGTTCACTAGATTGGTTTAATTGTATCGACTATTATTCACATCACTAATTATGTAGTTGGAATAATTGCATTATTACGTTTATTTTCTATCAAACTTTAAATTCCTTGTGATTGACG